TGCTTTTCATACACTTACCGTGCCCCATGGACTGAGCTAACAGCTAGTTATCCACAAAATCCTTACAGTAATCCCAGGATGCGGCTGCCACCATTGTCCCACACAGAGCTGGGGATGGAACCCACATGCTAGGCAAGAACTCCATCACTGAACTACACCCCAGGGCCTAAGCAGAATCTCAGTTGGGAACCACTCTATCCTGCTCCAGTCCTTACAGTGAACATGAACAGAAACTGTCTCAGACTCTAGCAAGGGGGGGGGGGTGGCCAGGCCTGGCAGCCTGGGCAGTATGTGCTCCTGGACAGTGATGAGGTCAGGCCCACTCTTACCAAGGGGTGACCAAGGCTCCAGAAAGGAAGCTCTTCTCAGTATCTAGGCTTGTGGTCTCCTAGGCACAGGCAGGGGTGAGGACGGACCACAGTCAGAGGCACAGGCACATGCAGGGGTGAGGACGGACCACAGTCAGAGGCACAGGCACATGCAGGGGTGAGGACAGACCACAGTCAGAGGCACAGGCAGGGGTGAAGATGGACCACAGCCTGAGGCACAGGCACAGGCAGGGGTGAGGATGGATCACAGTCAGAGGCACAGGCAGGGATGAGGGCGGACCACAGTCTACAAGACACACACAGAGATGCTCACTGGGTCTCTACAGCCAAATGTTCCAGACAGCCCCAACTTCTGTCAGCTGGGAGAGGAGTCAGCTAGATCACGCCTCTTAAAGGCATGGAATTTCCACTGAGGAATTTTTACAACCAAGCTCACAAAACAATAGAAACTTGTATGCTGATGCTATACACGTAAAGATACCCTCACTAAACTACATATGTATATGCAGTCTAATGCTGATGTACAGAGATGTACATATTTATATCACAGAATGCCAATTCTTTGTTTAAAAATACAGAAATGACTATATCACAAATAAACAATAGAAAAGAATTCACCAAAATATTAAGTGATTGTCTCTAATAACTTTGAGTTTTTTGTTGTTTTGGTTTTTGAGACAGGCTAGCCTCAAATTTGCTATGTACTTGAGGTTTACCTTGAACCTTTGAAGCTCCTGCTTCCACATCCCAAGTGCTGGGATTACAGGTACAAGCTACCACAGCCAGGTTATATGGTGCTGGGGGTTAAAGCCAGGGATTGGTGCATGGTAGGCAAGGATTCAACCACACAATAGCATCCTTAGCCCATAGTCCTGTCTTGTATATTTTAAAAAGTTACACAAATATTTATTTTTATTTTTTAACTTGTTCAAGGTTTTATTTATTTTTAGGAATGTAGTCTGTGCACCATCTGTGTGCAGTGTCCACAGGGGCCAGAAGAGAACATCAGATCTCTTGGAACTAACATTTCAGATGGTTCTCAGCTGCCATGTGGGTGCTGAACATTGAATCTGGGTCCTTTGGAAAAGCAGTCAGTGTTCTTAACCACTGAACCATCTCTCCAGCCCTGAAATTAATTTTTTAATGTGTGTGTTGTATTAGCTCAAGACCTCACACACACTAGGCAAATGTGTAAGTAAGTAAGGATGAAGACCCGAGTTCAGATCCCAGGACCTAAGTAGAGCCAGGTGCAGCAGCGGCACCTGATACTCCAGCGGTGGGCAGTGCAGACACAGGTGCATGCTGGGAGCTCACTGGCCAGTCAATCTAGCCAGAAAAGTGAGCTCCAGCCACAGTGAGAGACCCGTTCACAAAATAAATAAAATAGAAATAAATAAATAAACACGGTTGGGGAGATGGCTTGAAGCATAAAAAGAATTGCCACTTGCCAGGCGGTGGTGGTGCACTCCTTAATCCTAGCACTTGGGAGGCAGAGGCAGGCGGGTCTCTGTGAGTTGGAGGCCGGTCTAGTCTCTACAGAGTTAATTTCAAGACAGCCAGGGTTACACACAGAGAGAAACCCTGTCTCAGGGGGAGGGGGGAGTAATTGCCACTCGACAACACAAACCTGGCAACTTGAGTTCAATCCCCAGAACACATGGGAGAACAGACTCCATGAAGGTGTCCTCCGGCCTCCACGCATGTATCATGGTATGTACATACCTCCAACAAAATAAGATTTTAAGCTGGGCAGTGGTGGCACACACCTTAATCCCAGCTCTTAGGAGGCAGAGGCAGTGGGTCTATTTGAGTTTGAGTCCAGCCTGGTCTACAGAGAGAGTTCCAGGACAGCCAAAGCTACACAGAGAAATCCTGTTTTTAAGAAAACCAAAATAAATAAATATATTTTTTAAAAAGGACAAGTGCAGATAGAACAATACCCCCATACCCCCACATGCATATACCACACACAAACTCAAAATAAGTATCTTTCTGTTTGTTTGTTTCAACACAGGGTTTCCCAGTAGCCATGGAGCCAGTCCTAGAACTCACTCTGTAGACCAGGCTGGCCTCAAACTCATAGAGATCCTCCTGCCTCTGCCTCCTGAGTACTGGAATTAAAAACATGTGCCACCACCGTCCAGCTGCAAAATAAGTATCTTAAAAAGAACATATTTTTTTCTAGAGAATTTCTAACCAAAGGGAAAGTGCCTATGACATATTGTACTATATGTGGACACAGACAGTCAAATATATTCAGTGTGGCACCGTTCACTGTGTAAATGCGTAAGTGCCAGGAGAATAGTGGTGACTGTCAGTCTGGGTGGCAGGACTCTACGTAACCCTTTCATTCCCAGATCTTCTGTAGTGAGGATGTCTCACATTGCAGCTCAGAAAGGGAATCCTCTAAGTTATATTTAGAGCAGTTCATGTGAGGAACACACATGGGCTCCTTGACCCTGTCTGGAGTTGCCGGTATTTGGGGATTTCTGCCATGTGGTCAGACTGATGTCTGAGCTAGAGTCAGGACCAGCATCCGCACAGCTTCCAGAGTTGCCCCAAGAACATACACTAAGTTAACAGCAACCGCACAGAGGACAACACAACCCGAGCCCTCTCTGCAGGCCTGGCCATGAGCTCGCTGCCTTGAACACACCATCCCGCTGAAGCCCAGGATTCTAGTCTTTGCCCAGGGAGGGCAGAGATAGACTAGCCTCACATGCCCAGCTCTGCTCATCAGTTCACCCTCCAGCTCTCGGCTTGAGTGCAGGTTTAGGGCTGGAGAGGCTACTCAGTGGTCAGAACACTGGCAGCTCTTCCAGAGGACCCAGGTCTGGTTCCCAGCACCCACATGGTGGCTCACAATTGTCTGTAACTCCAATTCCAGGGGATCTAGCACCCTCTTTTAGCCTGCAAGGGCTCCAGTACACACACGGTACACAAACATACATGCAGGCAAAACACCCATACATATTAAATAAAAATAAATACATCTTTATAAAAATTACAGGTTGCAACCATCACATGGGGTCATGCAATGAACGCCAGGGAGGGGCTGCAACAAGCTTGGCAGCAATGGATGGTTTCTGCAGACGCAACTGAAAATGTGCTCTAAGGCAAGCATGCAATCAGCCCGAGGGACGCATGGCAGCACTTCCTCTGCAGCCTTGGTTCTGAGCATACACGTGTATATTTGCCACGAATGCCATCGTGCCACGAAACACCACAGCTGGGATCCAGGGCCATCCACTACTGCAGGCCGCAGTGTCTTTCCTGCAGAACTACGATCACATGACTACAGAAAACAAAGACTTTTCCTATTTCCCTACCATTGCTGCTAGGATGTGAGTATTACAATATATTCGGAATAGACTCCAGTAGAAGTTTGATTTTTTTTTTTTTTGTCCCCTGTCCTGGGGATTGAACCTAGGGCCTCAGGTATGCCAGGCAAGAGCTCTGTTGATGAGCTAGACCCTTAACCCAAAACGCTTGATTTAAGAATTGCTGTTTGAGTTGCTAACTCAAGTTTTATTTTATTATTTTATATAAAATCACTAAAGGGCTGGAAAGATGGCTCAGAGGTTAAGAGCATTGCCTGCTCTTCCAGAGGTCCTGAGTTCAATTCCTAGCAACCACATGGTGGCTCACAACCATCTGTAATGAGGTCTGGTGCCCTCTTCTGGTCTTCAGGCATACATGCTGACAGAATATTGTATACATAATAAATAAATAAATAAATGAAATGAAAAAAAAATCACTAAATAAAATTTGATTTGGAATTAGACTTTCCAACAATTCCTAAATGACCCTAAATACATCCTATGTTTTTTGGCATCATGCATTTGTGTGAAGCAGTAATTAATGACTATAAAATCAAATCTCAGCCGCCTCTGAAAAGCACTGAAGGTACTCTTCATCTCGCAGCATTGGACATTTAGCTAAGATTCAATTTTTTTTTTTTTTTTTTTTTTGGTTTTTCGAGACAGGGTTTCTCTGTAGCTTTGGAGCCTGTCCTGGAACTAGCTCTGTAGACCAGGCTGGCCTCGAACTCACAGAGACCCGCCTGCCTCTGCCTCCCGAGTGCTGGGATTAAAGGTGTGCACCACCACTGCCCGGGTAAGATTCAATTCTTTATGTAAGAAGAAATGAGCACAACCATCTCACTAGTATGCAAAATTGTTTTGTCTTCAACAAATGGTAAAACTGTATGGAAACCACAAAATTCCCTCTTCATTTATTATCAGCAAATGTTTGATTTGTCTATCTATTTTATACACTAATATACCCAGAGTTGTGCAAAGAAGGGTTTGCAGGCTGGGTATGGTGGTGCATGCCTTTAATCCCAGCACTTGGGAGGCAGAGGCAGGTGGATCTCTGAGTTCGAGGCCAGCCTGGTCTATAGAGTGAGTTTCAGGACAACCAGAGCTACACAGAGATCCTGTCTCAAAGGGAAAAAAAAAAGGGGGGGGGATGTGGGCACACAGGCTTAGGAGGCCCCACTGCATGTAATAGCACACATCCATGAAAATTCTCCCTGGGATATGGCCACCTCTTCACCCCCAGTCACCCAGCTCATCTGGCACGTTTCTAGGCTGGCCTGCAGCGACTGCTCCCGGAGGCACCTGATATAAATAGCCCATCCTAGTGCTGGGCTTGTGTGCCTGTACCTACCTTCTCCTCTGATGGGTAAAAGCCGATGGCTCTCATGACAAATGGGAGCTCCGACAGGCAGATATGTTCCGACACCTGCCTGGTCTCCATCGTGTCGATGCCTTGGCTGCGAATCTGCGAATAGTAGAAGTAGTCCTCCAGCTCCTGCGCGGAACCAAACAGAAACGGCACGCGGCCCTCAGATACATCCAGACAGGGGGTGTTTTCTAGAAAGCGTATTCTAAGCTTAGTAGGGAGGAGGGGGCTTTACGGAAAAGCATAGAGGGTTAGTCTCTAATGTCTGCCTTGACTAGATGTCCCCAGGAAGTGTTTGATGACAATTACCCTGTAGAATTTTCCTTCTCTGCCACCAGGCACCAGACTGTAGAATGGGGTCAAGTCTTCGCCCCCAAGAGAAACGGCCGCCTCCAGGGCACTGGAACAATAAGAAACATCATCATTAGGAAGTACCCATGCATGAAGTCATGGAGCAGTCGCACAGATGGTGGCCTCTGCTGGGTCTCTGTCCCTCAGCAATGAAGCCTGCAACAGAAATTCAATTTCAAGTGTGGAACGCAGCCGTACAGGGCACCCACCTTAATTATGGTGACATGCTTGTTCTGATGACAGGGCAGGTGCCTGGCAATTTGTCTGCTATCTTTGGGGACCCCATCTCTCCTGGGGGCTGGGGGAGGCTCCAGTCTGAACCTCAAAACCTCTTGAGCCGATCGTGCCCGATCAGCACCAAAAGGACGGGGTGCTCTTCAGGTGCACTGCCAGGCCTAATTGCTCTCAGAAAAGCCCGGGAGATCACGGGGACCCATGCCAAGTGGATAAAAATAACCCTCTGCTCTCCAGCGCAGGGTCAGGTTCTCCGAAAATAGGCCCTTTGAATGGGAAGAAAACCTACTTTTGCATGAGACCAACCGACTTTTCCTCGCTCAAAAGGCAAACAATCTAAAGTCACTGTTTAAAAAAAAAAAAGCCACTCACTGGATTTCCACTAGTCCAGTGAATTAGAGCCTACTTCAGTGAAGACCTACAGTGGAGAACTGAAGAATTCAGAACTGGAGTCAGAGGGGCGTGCACAAGAGCCTGACTGTGCCACCGGCAAGCTTGTGGCCATGAGAAATACCCACCTCTGCTCAGTTTCCACATCTGTGAAATGGGAAGGGTCATGCAGGCTGCCATAAGAATTAAGTAAACACACGTGAAGGATTTGCTGCAGGCCCTTTTTTTTTCCTCGAGTACCATTCCATCCCTTGAGCCATCAATAGACCCCTTGGAAGTTAAGTGGGGATAAGAGCGACACTTGTCTCCAGGATGGCGGTAAGATGAAGTCAAGAGGACTGTGCAAAGCAGTCAGGAGAGGGCCAAGCCCAGAGCGCAGTTCTGTCTGTGCCAAGGACAGACGATCACTGGCATGTCCTTGCCCTTTTCATAAGAACCACAAAATGTCCTCTGCCCTGCTGCTGGGTCCAAGGGAGGGCCCGACACATGGTTCTCCACATGTGCCTGAGGTCCTCTCCTGCAGGGCCCAGGCCTCACCCCACTTCTTGGCTCTGACAAGAGGCTATGAAGGCAGGTGATCAGCTAGTCATTCCTTCTCTGTGGCCCCGAGGCTGCTCCTGATTCCAAGGGTAACAAGGTCACTTTCAGACAAGCTGCCTAGAGCAGGTTATCAGGACCAGAAGTGACAGGGGGCCCTGTTACCACCAGGAACCCCAAGGGTAGGGATGCAAATGCACTGGGCCCCCTCGGGCAGCCTGATTTTCTGGGCTCTGTCATTAGCATTGTGCACATGCACCCTGCTCCTGCCACCATCTGGTGACCCTAGAGGGACCAAATTTCTCTAAGCAGAACAAAGAAAGGGGCTCATTCTCTCTGTGGCAAGGGCTCCAATCTGAGGAAGCTGCAGAGGGGCACGGAGGGCAGAGCTGGGCAGGAAGAAGGCTAAGAGCCATGAGTGGGTGGCTGTTCTGCAGGCCCACTCTGCGGCCAGGCAGCCACATAGGATTCCGGTTGCCTTCCCAAAAGCCTCCTTGTGCCTAAATTGAGGTCTCAATCAGAGAGAGAGAGAGAGAGAGAGAGAGAGAGAGAGAGAGAGAGAGAGAGAGAGAAAGGGAGAGAGATCACTGGGACATAGAAAGTGGCATTTTATTTATTTTTTTAGATTTATTTTATTTTGTATGTATGAGTGCTTTGCCTGCGTGTATGTGTGTGCACCACATGCATGCCTGGGGCCTAAGGAAGCGGTGAGCCTCTATGTGGGTGGGTGCTTGGAATTGAAACCCGTTCTTTGCAAAAACAATAAATGCTTTTAACTGCTAAGCCAACGCTCTGGTCCTGGGAAATAGGATCTATTGAACATATCTTGTATTCAGGAATAGCATGGTTGCTTCTAGGCAAAGGGGCGAAGCTAGAGAAATCAAGAGTGACATCAGGCAAGCACCAGAGAGATGCTCCCCAACAGGGGCGTGAATGGTACCCTTTCCACCAACGGAAGAGCTGGGGCTTGGAGGAGTTAAAGTCTACATTATTCTGGTTGTTGTTGTTTGCGTTTTATGTTTTGTGTACCCCACATTTGCCTTGACCTCACTATGTAGCTGAGGATGACCTTGAACTGCTGACCTCCTGCCACTACTTCCTGAGTACTAGGATTATTGTCCTGTGCTGGCTGCTTCGTCTGACCAAGCTGGAATTTGAACCCACGTCTCTGCTTGTACTTGAGTAGGAGGTGGAAGGTCTTTCCACCCCACTTCACTCTATAACTCTCTCATCAGTAAATCCAGTACAAAACCAAAAGCTTTGCAGAGAGGGTTTCTCAACTCACTACAAAGTGGAGGATGATCTTGGTATTCTGGTTCTACTGCCTTCACCTCCCGAGTGCTGGCATGATCAGCTTGTGCCACCATGATGGGTTGTCTTAGGGTTACTATTGCTGTAATAAAACACAGCGACCAAAGCTATTTGGGGAAAAAAGCTTTATTTGACTGAACTTTGTTTGTTTGTTTGTTTTTTTGAGACAGGGTTTCTCTGTTTAACAGTCCTGGCTGGCTGTCCTGGAACTTGCTCTGTAGACCAGACTGGCCTTGAACTCATAGAGATCCACCTGCCTCTGCTTCCCAAGTGCTGGGATTAAAGGTGTGCACCACCACTGTCTGGTGGCTTAACACTTCTTGTATCACCAGTCATCAAAGGAAATTAGTACAGGAACTCAAGCAGGGCAGGAACCTGGAGGCAGGAGCTGGTGCAGAAGAATGTTGCTCACTGGCTTGCTCTCCATGGCTTGCTCAGTCTGCTTTCTTATAGGACCCAGAATAGCCAGGCAGTGGTGGCACATGTTTTTAGTCTCACATTCGAGAGACAGATCCCTGTGAGTTCGAAGCCAGCCTGGTCTACAGAGTGAGTCCAAGGGCAGCCAGTGCTACACAGAGAAACCCTGTCAAAAAAAAAAAAAAAGCCTAAAAAAAAATCAGGATCATCAACCACAACCACAGTGGGCTGGACCCTCCCATATCAATCGCTGAGAAAATGCTCTCCTGGCTTGCCCACAGCCGGACCTTGTGGAGGCATTTTCTCAGTTGGGGTCTCCTCCTCTCAGATGACTTTAGCTTTTGTCAAGCTGATATAAAAGTAGCCAGCACATGCATGTATCTATTTGATACTGGGAATGAAGCTAAAGACTTCATGCGTGCTACCAGCTGAGCTGTAGCCTGGGCCCTCGTGGATGCTAGACACACACGCTACCAGCTGAGCTGCAGCCTGGGCCCTGGTAGAGAATTGTATTGTTTACTTGTTTGGGGCTTTTACATTTCTTTCCATTAGTGAAATGCTGAACATATTAAGTCACCAGAAGCAGCAATAAAGTGCTAATTAGTTTATAATGATCCTTTGTCCCTACAACAGATTAAATGGAAATTCTCAGAAGCCTGGATTCTGGCCAAGCATAGGAACGCTATTGGAAATCCCTACTGGATCCCACTTTGACTGAGGCCAAAAATCAAAATGGGGAGACTTCATCTCCCTCCAGCAGGACACTGGCCCCAAGGACTGCAGGTGGCAAGTGGGTGACACATTGGGACTGCTGGGGAAGTGCTTCTGGATGGAGAGCTAGCTCACCTCCAGTTTCCAAGTCCCCCAGCTTCCTGGATCAGCTCACCCGGGATGGCAGAGGCAGAAGGCAGAGCTGCAACTGCAGTCTGAAGGCATCATGGCGCCAGAGCAGATTTCGCCAGCTATTCTCACTCAAGTTCAGGGTACGAAGGAAAGCGTTAACATCTGCCATAAAGGGAAAGACGAGTGCTTGGCAGATGGCAAAGGCAGACGTTACTGGGAGCCATGGATCAGGCAGCCTTTTGAGGAAGGAAGGGACCTCTGCTGTCTGCCTCTGAAGCCCGCGTGGACAGGGTCATCAGAGACATGATCTGGCTGCCCACTCCTTGGCTCTGCCCTGGTTCAGATCACTGCATTTAGATGGATGAGAGGGTCACCTTAAGTGCCTGTCCCATCTGAAACACAAATGCCCTTTTCAGGAAGAGAAGAAAGGAAGGATGCCGCATTTTACATATTGGTTACTGCATCACCTATGTAAACCTGTCCGGTCCATACAGGACTCTATAAAAGCTGTTAGTCCCACTTCACAGGCAGAATCAAAGGATTAGCGCTATGAAGAAAACTGCCCGGATTCTAGAGCCGAGACTCCACCTTAAAATAGCTATATTCTTACTCTGATGTACAAGTCTAGTATTTTCCAGCCCCACTTTAGGCGAGCAGGTCTCCTTTCAGGGCAGGGAGGAGCAGATTCTTAATTCACCCTTACTGTTTCTGCAATGCCCACTTTGGAGTCTTAGCCTTGGTCTCTCTGTCCAGCGTGAGAATGTACGGATACTGGGAAACTTCAGGGAGCCAGGCAGAGCCTGGGGCATTTTCACCATTCAAGCTGGAAATTTAACGAATGGTCCGTGAGGCTGCACAGCAGCCTTTGATCTGCACATAATGTCACCAGGAAGCATCCTGAGAACCAGGTACCCTTTTGTCCTAGCACAGAATGGGCATGTGGCAGGCACTCTGTAGCTGCCTGCCGCATCTGAATGAAAAGAAGGGGTCCAAGGGCTGGAGCAACGGCTCAGCAGTTAAAAGCGCTTGCACTCATGTGGGTGGCTCACAACTGCATGAACTCCAAGTCCAGGAGACCCAGTGCCCTCTTCTGGTCTTCTCAAGCACTCACATGCAGAAGTGCATACTAACATGCACACAAACACACACAAATACATTTTTAAAATACCCTTATGGGGCCAGGGTATGTCCCCTCACATACCTTAAGTTGATTTCCCACTGAACCACTGAGCAATCTTGGCCTCCGGATGTGAAGGCATAGCGACCGTCGTAGGAAAGGGCCATTCCAGCCACCCCACTTGGGTGGCAAACGATAGCACATGTTTTGTGTGGGTTGCCGTCAACTGGTAAGATCTGGAGTCCGACCTAGGGAGGCAAGTGTAATTAGGTGTTCAGACTCGAGTACCCAAGTCTCAAGCTAGCCTGACATACCCAGGCTTCCCCTCCAGATGTTTCTGCTATGCATGCACACATCTGGAGCCATCTGTCAGAGTCAACATACGACTAGGCACAAATGATTGGTGTATCTGCCGTGTAAATTAGATTGTCCCAGGTCAATAAAAAGAAAGAAAAGTGTAATTTGGAAGCCTATGAGTTTTCCCTGGGAAACTCTGAGAACTCTATTTGAAAACATCTGGGAGCCTGGGAGAAACACAGTGGGTAAAAGCACTTATTGCCAGGCCTGACTGGCTTCTACCTCCAGGACCCACACGGTGGAAGGAGAGAACAGACTCCTGAAAGGTATCCTTTGACATACTGTGGCACATGTTCACGAGCGTGCTTGTAGGTGTGTGCATGTGCAAACACGTGCATGCACACACACACACACACACCAAAAAAATTAAAGTAAAAAGAAAGAAATGCCTCCCAGAAGCCATTCTCACTAATCCGTGGTAATTTTCAGTATGGCCAATGACCCATATGGAAGTAATTCTCTGCAGCAGAACTAAGGACCCATCTAAGGTCTTTATCATCTGTTGTATTATTAAGATTATTTCTTTGGGAAAGGACATTTGAGCCACAGTGCCTGTTTGGAAGTAAAGAACAACCTTCCCAAGGTAGTCTCTCCTCTCACTAGGTTCCAGGGCTCAAACGTGGGTCCCCAGATGAGGCAGTGAGCACCTTTCCTGATTGGCTGTCTTGGGGGCCCTGGATCTCAAGGTCTTTAGATCATTGCACAGATGTCTTGCAGGGACAGAGAAGGGAAGCCTACCTTGTCTTTGTTGATGAACACCAGGTAACGCTTCTGCAGCTCTAACGTGGATCTAACGGGGAGCACCTGTGTGTGCTCAACAGGAGACCCATAAGCTGGTCCAAGAAGTGTCTTTCTGTATAGGGAAAAAGTGCAAACTCCATAAACTTCAATGTATATTTAAGACTATAATCAGTACTACCATACTTGTGTTGTGGTGTGTTCTCTAGGGTTTGGGGTTTTTGTTGATGTTGTTGTTGCTTTTTTTTTTTTTTTTTTTTTTTTTTTTTTCCCTAGGTCCCTGGGCTATCTAGTTTCAGGCTTTTGGTCACCCAAGCAGNTTTTTTTTTTTTTTTTTTTTTTTTTTTTTTTTTTTTTTTTTTTTGAGACACAGAGTCTTGCTATGTAGTCCAGGCTGGCCTAGAATTTTAGAATCCTTGCTTCAGTCTCCTGAATGCTGGGGTTACAGGCACACACCTCTGCACTGGAGTCCTTAAGTATTTGTGATTGTGGATTTCCTGTCTTGTCACTCAGCTAATCTCTACGTAAGAACCTCTCATTCAAGTGCTGCCAGCGACTGCTGTAAAGAAGGGGCATTGGCTCCCAACGGCAAATGTTGTAGTGGGCTTGAGGGGAGCTGCCTGTGGGGGAAGCTCCCCGTGGCTGCGGTGTGGACTTTCCCTCCTGACACTATGTCCTAAGGGACAGTATTGAACAACTAACAAGAGAAAGGCCTGTGAGGAAATGGCACATTTGGCAGGATGCAAGCAGACACCCGACAGGCCCACAGACTGGAGTGAGACACCACCCTCTGTTCCAGACATCCTTAAATGACACTGGTCACCAGATCCATCGTTGCACCAAGTTGTAGTGACTCTGGTCATGCCTCTTTAGCTCGACTTTATAATCTATTACGACTCTGTGCCATGTGCAGTAGGGTGCAGAGCTTCTGGGAGGGGCCCTCCTTTCCTTCCGTCCCGAGAACTGAACTCAGGCCCTCGGGCTTGGCAGTGGCAGTATTTATCTACTCGTCTCTCTCTCTGTATCCACTTTTTTTTTTTTAAGCTCTTGATATTTTGCTCAGGCTGGCTTCAAACCCCTGGGTTCAAGAGCATCTTCTGCCTCAGCCTCCTGCCGAGCTAGAATTGCAGGTACACGCCACCCATGGTACTCAGCTTGGATTACCCCAACTCCAGCTGCTTCCCCAAACATGAGCCTGCTCTAAGGTGAGGTCCCATTGCAGGCTGCAGGTGCTGGATAAAAGAGAACTGATCCTACCACGCCAGCCTTGAGTACCTCCTCACGCCTGGTGTGAGGTAGTCGGGATGCAGAAACGTGCATGGTCTAGCCCCTGCTACTGAGGCCACGGACCGGCAGGGACAGAAGACAGGGAGCTGTTTGAGATGCCATGGAGCCAAAGGGTCTGGGGCGAAGTATTCCTAGTGGGGCAGCTGACTGTGCTCAGAATGATGGATCCGAGGCAGAGAGAACAGCCTGTAGTGGAAGAATGGGACTCAGGAAGAAGGTAAAGGCAGGGGACATGGATCTAAGAGGCACAGACGGTGATGGGAAGGGGACAGGAGACACAGCAAGGGGACACAGTGGCAGGAGCAGTTTTCACGGTGAACTTTCTGCTCTGGGCTGTGAGAGACTCAGCACTTTGAAACACCACAATGCCCACCAGGTAGACAACATAACAGCTCATGCCTTTTCCTGAGGCCTTACCACATGCTGGCAAGTCGGCAGAGGCAGGGGAACAGGGGTAAAAGCCCAGGGACAGGGTATGAGAAGACGGGGACCTTTGTCCCTGGTTGGGGGAAGTTGTGGGGAGTAGGAGCTGTGGAAACTCCAATCATAGGGTCATTCAAGAAATTATGCAGGTCTGTGTACACCGGACCCTATACCCTAGTGCTCAGGACCACTACAAAATGGAAACAATGCAAACGCCTAGCGCCATCCGCAGACGCTTGGGTGGGCAGGAAGGGCCAACCCTCAGCCAGAACAACAAAGCACTAGTTCGCGGCCCCAAGTGGGTGAGTCTCAAGACCATATTAAGTGAAAGAAGGCAGACACAGAAGGTCACATGCTGTGTGACTCTATAACATGAAATTATATCCACATGTGCAGAAGAGACAAGTTCAGAAGACAGAAGCAGGTCAGTGGTTTCCAGGGACATAGCGATGCAGGGCCGGGAAGTGGCTACCGATGGGAACGAAAGTGTGCTCTTTGGTTTTGCTCTGCTTTTTCATGTGGTCTAGGGTGGCCTCAGACTCACTATGTAGCTGAGGATACAGCTTTGAATTTCTGGCCCTCCTGCCTTCACTCCCGAGTGCTGGCACTCCAGGTATGCATCCCTGGCTTATTAGGCACGAGGTAGAGAACGCAGAACTTTGTACATGGTAAGCAAGCATTCTACAAACAGAGCCAAACTGCCAGCCCAGGAACCAGTTACCCTTTGGGTGTGACAGCAGCTTCTTGAATTGCACAACTTAGCCAGTGGATACAAAAAAAAAAAAAAAAAAAAAAAAAAGCGCTCAGAACAGTTCCTGACACAGGCATGTAACTGTCAGTGACAGTCAACCTGTCTGCCCGTATTCTGCAAAACCCGTATCTCTTCATTCGGATTGAAAGACATTTCATGTTCATTGTAAAAAAGAAAGTTCAAGCCTTCAGACATTCATACAATAGAACATCCGCATCCTACAATGCTGACTTCTGTCCCAAGAAAGACATGGGCCATTGTTTGGTCCCTGTGACGCACTCAAATTTACGTACACAGATTTCGTAGGAAGAGAGAATTATACTATCCACGCTTATTTGGAAATTTGCTTTCTCTCTTACTGCATCCTGGAGACGTTGCCATGTTACTGTGTAGACAGTTAGCTGAAAGCGACTTTGTGTTCTGGTGGACTGACAAGACATCACTTAACTAACGCCCTGTTAACGGACATTTGAATGTTTCCATTTCAAAACATATTTCCATACAAGAGATCCTTTTACTTACGTCTTGGCCTAGCACAGGGCACTTCTCCGGGCTCCATTCCTAGACGTCAGAGGGTATAAAATTTAACAGAGGGTGACAGATTGCTTTCCCCGGAGGTTACGCCAGTTTACACCCCCACCAGCGGTTGGACGAGCAGGCCTGCTTCCCCGCGCTCTTGCCAAGGAACCGCAACATCCATCACTTTTATCTTCACTAATCCCATTTGTAAAAAAGGATGTCTTGCTTTCGTCTGCCTCATCGAGAGAGGCTGCTGAGCATCTGCCCCCGCGGTTAGTGGTCTTCTGCGAGCTGCCTTGCCATAGCCTTTCAAACACCTAAAATGCATTTTAAAATTCTTTTTCTGATCCTCACGAGAAGACAATCCTTCCCCAGTTGAACTGTGGCCACCAGACTTAGTATTTTTCTAACTCAAGAGATGCCTTACACAAGGAAAGAAGAGGTGGTTATACATTTAATGTGCCCTTCATTTAAATGCTTTATGAACTTGACTTCCAACCTTGCTAAGGTTGAGGTTAGCCAAGAGGCTGAGAAGTGATGGCTATTTTCTGTTTTTAATTTTTTTTTTTTGTTAATGTGTGTGTATGACAGGGGTGGTCGGTTCACACATGCCATGTGGACAACTTTGAGGGGTCAATTTTTCACACTTGGCCTCATGTGGCAAGTACTTTTTACCTGAGGAGCCATTTCCTCCTGCCGTATACACTATTTTCTTCTTTTTAATAGATTTATCTTATTTAAATTATTTAGTGGAGTAGGAGGCTGCTTGTTCGGTTCCCAGCTACCCAGACTTGAAATAACCACACAGAAACTATATTAACTAAATCACAGCTTGGCCAATCACTTAAGTATATTGCTAGCTAGCTCTTACATATAGAATTAACCCATTTCCATTATTTTATATTTTACCATGAGGCTCATGGCCTACTGGCAAGGTTCTAGCTGGCAGCTTGCATCTTTCGCCTCTGGCAGATACATGGCATCTCCTGACTCTGCCTCCTTTCTCCAAGCATTCAGTTTAGTTTTCCCACCTAGCTCTATTCAGCCCTATCACAGGCCAAAGCAGTTTCTTTATTCATTAACAAATAAAAGCAACACATATACAGAAGGACCTCCCACATCAATTTATTTATTTTTGTTTTAAGTGCACTGGTGTTTTGCCTACATGTATGTCTGTGTCAGCTCCCCTGGAATTGGAGGTACAGACATGTGAATGCTGGGAATTGAACCCAGGGCTCTTAACCACTGAGCCATCCCTCCAGCCCAGCATACTATTTTCTTAAGCAATGCTTTGAGCTAACTTCAGATGGATGATCAATAGACAGAAACATGAACACACACCACACACATATACACACCACAACATAAACCACACTCACCACACACATCCCCCCACCTCTGTCTCCACTGGTGATTAACTGTTAGCAGGAGCTACCAGCCTGAGGCATGCTGTCTCCTACCTTGAATTCGGTTTCTAGGACTGACTAGGCATTTCCAGGGATGTTCTTCGCTCAGAAGTGTGCGTCCGTTAAAGAGGGAACATGAAGAGCACCCTGAAGCTCTTCACCCATTTTCTCAAGTATTTTAAACACTGTGCCAGATTTCACTTCCTGACATAAGATGTAAGGGCTCTGTCATTTTTCCTCCCACCATCTGGGAAAGAACTGTTCTTGGTTAGGGTGAAGTAGGCAGGAGGAACGGTTCATGCTTGTAATCCCTGCACTTGAGAGGTTGAGGCAGGAGGCTTACTGTAAGTTTAAAGTCAGCCTGGGCTGCAGAATGAGACAGTGTCTCAAAGTGAAAACAAAAGCAAGCAAAAACCCACAAAACCAAACCAAAGAGGAAGAGAGCCTGGGGTGGAGGGGAGCTTTGGAAATCTCATCTGAGATACACTTCAGGGTACACGAGCATGGCCAGCCATGATGGATCATGCCTCTAATTCCAGTACCCCAACCAACCAATTAAAACTCTGCTCTTCCTCCTGCGGCCTGGGCACATTGCTGCTGCTGCTGGCTCCCCCACCAACCATTCCTTCTGCCTCAGCGCCTTCCAGCTGTATCCATTGGCATCTAATCCCCAGCAGAGAAGCTCCCTCCCCATAGGGTCTAACCCTCTGTGCAGTCCCTTGCAGAGGGCCAAGTTAGAGCAAGAGCCAAGGGTTGAGTCTTGACCAACCTGCCTGCCTAACTGTCCAGAAATTACGAAGCCTCTCCAAACCCCAGAGGGACAGCACTTTGCAAGGCTCTGGGAAACTGAAGACAGTGACCCTGCTGCAGGGACAGCACGCAAGGTCCGTGTCCAAGATGAGGGAAATCTGGGACCCGCAGGTCTTGCAGAATCTATGACCACACCCAACAGAAGGACACCTCTGCAGGGAGGAAAATGCAGCTGTGGGTGCCCTGGGTGTGGTCTGCAACCCCCATCCACCTTTCCGCAGCCTCCTTCCCATAGCTTTAACACCCTCTGCTCTTGACCCCAGCCAGCTTCCACCCAGATCAAGAGCATAACTCGGGTGCTGTCGCACGGAGTGGGATCTAGAACTTGCCTTGTCCAAACGTGGAATTTAGTGACCTCAGATCTATCCTTCCCTGTCTGTGCCTCCACCCATTTGAGGTCAATTCCATTTTCCTGGCTATGTGGGCCTCGGTCTTCAAGGTATGTAGGAAAGCCTATGCTTGCTCTCACTCACCTTTTGCTCTCAGCAAACACTGTTGGCCTTGTCCCCAGATGCAGCCAGCGTCCGACCCTTCTCCGTCACTCCAGGCCATTATCATCTCCACAGAACAGCCTCCTCCCCTTGCTGCTCCCACAGCCCGGCCCTGGGGTGGACGCTAGAGGCAAGCAGCCCTGCGGGTTGCCCTCCCCACCCTCTCCACTCACCCTTCCCCAATTCCACTCCAACCAAGCCACTTTCAAAGAACTTCTCAGACCCCAAACACCTTGTTCCTGCAGATCCCAGCTGTGGGCTCTCCCCAAATGTCCTACATCCCAATTTATTCCTCCCTCACTAAGACCCCCCTCCCTGTACTCTTTGAAGACAGCAGCCTTTCTGTCCCCAGGAACTGCCTCAGGACGTCTGTCTCTCCAGTCTTTATGTGCAGAGCTACCACGGCTACCTACTCACTACTGTGTTGTCCACCCCACAATGGGGCTTTGTTCACCACCAGGAACACTACCTGGCCTGTGTAAGGAATGAACAAATGAACGCAATCAGCTGGACAAAACACCTCTGAGAAGCAGCGGGAGAAGAATCAAACACACTGGGCATGGTAGTGCATCCCCGTGATCCCAGGACTCAGGAGGCAGAGGCCAGGACTACAGAGTGAGACCCTCTCTCAAGATAAAATCAAAACAACAACAACAAAACCAAACAACTGGCATGTCTTGTTAAATGGTTGGCTTTGGTTTAGGTTTGGTTTCTTTCCTGTGTGGAAAAGGATGGCTGATTTTGTAACATCAGTGACTTCTGGATTCCAGGGCTGTGTCCTTCAGAGAGACACACGGGCATCAAGCTCCAGGTCCCCTACCTCCCCAGTACCTGGCTTAAAGCAAGGATGCACACTGGCATCCTTATTCAGGTATGGCCCCATTGTGTGCTTTTGCTTTTGGGCAAACCTGACTTAGGTTATCCCTTTGAGAAGGGGAAGGGATGAACTGTTACCAGTGGGGGGAGGGGGAGGCTGAGCAATGGGGGTAATAGGGATGGCGGGCACATCAGCGGGCTGAGTCATGGGGGTGGCGGGCCCATCAGCAGCTGCCCCGGTGCGCACCTGCACATCTTCGTGGTGGAGTTGAAAAGCTTCACTTTGTAGCAGCTGTTGCAGATGAGCAGGAAGAGCTCCTTGGTGAGCGGCGGGTACCAGATCATGCAGGTGGGGTAGGTCCCCTGGTCGGTCCGGTGGATGTCCAGGACTACCAGGTGGTCTTTGTAGCTCTTCATGAGATTGTACTCTATCTGCGGAGAACAGGAGTTCATGAAGACCCACCTCAGTGGTCCTCATCTTCCTAACATTGAGACCCCTTAAAACAGCCCACCATGTTGTGCTGACCCCCAACTATCAAATTATCCTCGTTGCTACCTCATAGCTATAATTTTGCTACTACTGTTACGAATCACAATGAAAAAACCTGTGTTTTCGGATGGACTTAGACCCCTGTGAAAGGGCCGTTGACGTGCCCCCCGCAAAGGGTCGCAACCCCCAGGTTGAGAACCGCTTATCCAGCTGGCTGAGGCACTTCAAGCCTTGGGTGTTGACCTGCATGGTAACTGGCTGGGTCTCTAAGGGAAGTTCCCAGACTCCACACAGCATGCTGCCTTCACCAAGCAACTCCCAGCAAGCAAGGTGACTCAACACCCTGCACCATCACACCTGTGGCCCCCCCAAAGATCTGCAGTGCTGTGTCTCTTCGCACACAGACCCCATGAGCAGGCTATGAGTCACAGGTATTCGGCGTGGCCTGTCCAGGAACGCACAGCCAAGAAGTGGTGGAGCGAAAACTTAAGTCTCAGCCAAAGGAGCCCAACCCTGAACCTCTGCCATGTCCCTTTTCGTTATCTTAGGAACTAACTCAAGCCTAAATCTCAGCACTCAATGGTCCCTGATTACCATACAGCTCCTACTGGCCACAGGTGGTCCAGATGAAGTAAAGAGAAGCAAGGAAGGCCTGGAGAAAGGAGGGGGAAGGAGGGCCAGGCGGGACAACGGAAGCAGGGGCAGGTAGTGGTTTGCCCAGTTGGTAAGGGTTGACCTGATAAGATCACCCACTGTCCCTGCTGCTCTGGTTAGTTTTTGTCAACTTGATACAAAATAGTCTCACCTGGGGAGAGGGACCCTCACTTGAGGAACTGCCTCCATCAGATTGGCCTGAGGCCATGACCACGGGCCAGTAGGCCTGGGCTGTATGAGAAAGTAGCTGAGCAAGCCAGTAAACAGCATTCCTCCATGGTCTCGGCTTCAGTTCCTGCCTCAGTTTCCCTGAATGAGGGACTGTGAGCTATAAACTCTTTTCTTCCCCGAGCTGGTTTTGCTCAGAGTTTTGTTTTGTTTTTTTTGTTTTTTTTTTTTTTTTTAGTTTTTAGAGACAGGGTTTCTCTGTGGCTTTGGAGCCTGTCCTGGAACTAGCTCTGTAGACCAGACTGGACTCGAACTCACAGAGATCCGCCTGCCTCTGCCTCCCGAGTGCTGGGATTAAAGGCGTGCGCCACCACCGCCCGGCTCTTGCTCAGAGTTTTATCACAGCAATGGAAAGCAAATAAGGGTGCCCAACTGTGTCTGCCCCGTCCCCTTCCTACTGCTTTCCCGTGAAAGTCACAGCCTGACCCCTGGATGCTGAGGAGGTATTGGTGTCAGTTTTCCCAGCACTCGCTGGGGAGTGAAAGCGGCTGCATCTTCTATCCTGTGTGGGACACACCCTCCCTCTGCCCACCTCCGCTTCAGGACATGAGCCATGGGAGCTATTGCTTCAGAGGTGCCAACATGGAGAAGTCTGTGATGCTTCACCATAGCTATTTTCCCAGCATGCTGCAGGCGGGGTTTGCACAAGGTGGTAAGGATGGAACAGGCAGGATGGGGTGGGAGGTGGGGTGGGGGGAGACTCATGGCCCTGGGGATCAGCAAACCGAAACAAACATCTCACCAGGAACCTGTCTTTCCCGAGGCTCAGCAGCCTGGGCTCATTGCTGTCCAGATGAACCCCGAACAGGAGGCTTCGGATGCTGTTATGATGGGAACGGAGTCTCGCCAGGTACTCCCAGACCCTTTGTCCGCTTTTGACCACCACCATATACACAGCCACGGTGAAACTGACATCCTAAAGGGGCAAAATTTGAGTTTTGGAACTAAGGATCATCATCGTGGTTTTCAGACTTGTTGGCCTTCAGACTGTCTTATCCAAATAAATCTCAGCACAGCAGAACAAGTTAGGAAGAGCAGCCCAGGTGACTGAGGTTCCTGGTGGGAAGGGGGAGGGAGTACAGTGTGGCACCAACCCCACTCCTCTGTCCATGTTCTTACACCGTTCCTCAGGGAAAGCCAAGAGCCTGACTCTTTCTGCCTTTGTCCTCCCTACCCTTTGCCTAGCTACAGAAAATAAAAAAGATCTGATACAGGCCAGAGCGGCAGAGAGCAGCCGGCAGGTCCCAGAAACAGGACAGCCAGTCCCTGGGGCTGCAGAATCCAAGTCTGAAAGTTCTGAGGCCTTGCTCCTGTCTGCTTGAGAAGTCCTTCTACCTCACCAACCTTTTCCCTTCTCTTTATATCACAGCTTGACTGGGATGTAAGCCCCACTTTCCTCAAGCTCCTCGCCCCTTTGTTCGTAAAGAGCCCTGAGCGGAGGGAAGAACTCACAGCAGTAGCCATGTAATTGGAATCGTGCGAGAAGCTGACGTGCGAGATGCTGGTTCTGGAATATTTGAAGGGCTCTGGACTTTCATTCTCTAAAGACATTGCGTCAAGAATATAAACTGTCCCCTCGGTGAATCCAGCTCCAAGCAGGGCTCCTGAAAAGACAAGCCCAAGAACGATGACGGAAAAGAACTTCCTTCATCCCAAGAGAGTCCGCGCAAGCTTTTCTCGACAGCAATAAGCAAGAGGAAAATCCGCCACAAGAAAAATGGGAAAAGAAACACCTTGGGAAGGGCGCTAGACTGGGGAGAGGGACAACTGGCTGGTGACAGACCAGGGCACAGCCCCTGTGGGTACCTTCGGGGTTGTAGCTCAGACTCTGGACTCCAAGGCCCTTCTCGAAGGTCCTGCTGAACAGATACACCTTCTTCTCATAGTCCCACACCTTGATCATCCCACAGACACTCCCGACCGCAATGAGGGGTTGGTACGGGTGGCAGGAGATGGCATAAACGGCATCCCTGGGCTCCACAAAGAGCTTCTCGAGTTTGGTGCCATCTGCCGTCATGTGGTACACGGTAGCATCAAATGTTCCGATAATAAAATTCCTGTTTGCCAAGGAGAGACCCGACAGGATCAGCGTTTGCAGGGACAGGCCACGCCAACCATTCTGCTTCTAACGGCACACGAGCCGCCTTTGTCGTCTATAATTTGGTGACATAATTAACCCAACATCTCCAAAAATATACCACCAACATCCAACAGCCTCCATTTGCAAGTGAAAAAAGCCCACTTTCCCACATGTAAATTGAGTCATTAAGTATGCAGATGGACAGTCAGTTGTACAATTAGCTAATCTACACATGCAAATATTCATTTGTGTATGCAAATATGGAGTTGGGTGCACACATACAGATGTGCCTGTAAAGACTGCAAGGGCAATTAAGCAGACTCATGGATAATTCAGTCTTGAAATGTTATGGCTATTAATTACCCAATGCCTTTAACCTCAGTGGCTAGGACAAGCTCAGCTCCAAGAAATGAGGCTACCCCATGGCCAAAGACTCCGGGCACAACAGAGATGAGAAGTCAGGGATAAGGGCCATCCAGCTTCTGGCTTCTACATGGTAAAGTCTTTAACTAATTAAAAAAATAATCTCCAGGGCAACACAGAGAAACCCTGTCTGGAAAACAAAACAAAGTCAAGCCTAGTGGTGGTGTTCACCTTTGATTCCAGCACTCCGGAGGCAGAGGAAACAGATCTCTATGCTCCAGGCCAGCCTGGTCTACAGAGTGCATCCCAGGCTAGTCCGGGGTACACAGTGAAACCCTGTCTTGGAAAACCAAAACAAAAGAATCCAACGCTGATCTGATCGCAATGAACCAAGGAGAGACAGCTGTAAAACTAGTAAGGCGAACTCGCTCAATTCTGTGTCCTAGGAACAAGAGGAACAGCCACGGCACTGCACACAAACTGAAAGGGGACATCAGTCATTTTTGGCCATGACCAGACTCATTATCAACTCACCTGACGACGAAAAGGTCACCTTTTAACGTGCAGTCTGTGGGGAGGCTCGATTTCTCTGTAGGTGGACTGGCTGGGTTCTTGGAAAAGGACAGCGTCCTTATGGCACCTAGTTTGAAGTTACTGTACCAGTTGACAACAGACAGGGTGTGATCGTAGAACTTAATGCTCCCCTTAACATCACCTGTGACAATGTAGCTGGAATAGAGGAGAACAACAGCACTGATGGCAAGAGCCCTCTACTGAACATTTGATTGTGTAAGGCTCTAGCCCCCGGGTGTGGCCATGATCCACTCGACAGTGGCCAGTGAGGTTTCTTTTCCTGTCACCCCACTTTATAGCTACATCTCCAAGGCTAAAGAGAAGACACCTGCTCAAAGCTTAGGGTTGCCAGACACAGTGGATACTCTGCACAGCAGGTTCTATTAATCTGAATCTTGGATAAACTCCCATAGTCCCAAATGCTGTCTATGAATGCTTGTTTACATTTAAAGGGGATATGCTATAGAGATTTGCATTGGTGTGGATCTTGCTTTATGGATACAAATTTAAGGTCAATTTTGTTATACTGGGTGTGTATATTTCTGCTCTTGATTAAGGAATTGTGTTTGTGCAGCTCAGTTAAAAATGTAATGTAGTGCTGTGGAACAACGGTCTGGACCCTGCCATTTGCATTTTAAATAAACGCGGATTGGCCAGTAGCCAGGCAGGAAGTATAGGTGGGGCGACCAGGCAGGAAGTAGAAGCGGGGCAACAAGAATGCTGGGAAGAGGGAATGCAGTCTGCAGTCGTGACCCAGCCTCAGAGGAAGCAAGATGTGACTGCCTCACCAAAAAAGGTAACAAGCTACGTGGCTAACTCAGACAAGAATTATCGGCTAATGTAAGTTATAAGAGTTAGTAAATAAGAAGCCTGAACTAATGGGCCAATCAGTTTATAACTGATGTAGACCTCTGTGTGATTCTTTGGGACTTAACAACTGTGGGAACCAGGCAGGATAGAAACCTCAGACAACAATGTATAATTAAGAGAGGTTAATAAATAATCATATATAATAGTCAAGCTTGTAGTCATGTTAGTTAAATTTTCTAGATGTAGAGATGTATTTCAAATAGCTAGGTATTCTTCATACCTTTCAAAGACTACAAAATATGGCATTTAAAATGTTTTAATAACTTAGGACTTTTCATGACAATGAGACACATCTGCTCCTGGCAGCACCAATTACTTCAAGCAAAAGATGGGCACTGAAGAGGCTCCTTATGGAGTTTGCTGGCCATTTGGGCAAGAAACTACTCTTGCCTAAACTGCTTGGTGATCTGGGCATGCAGGACCCACAGAGAAATGACTGCTAAACTTGTCTAAAGGTCAGATAATCCTTCAGGGTGCCTACTTCATGAAAGAGTCTGCTAGATATTCTGCAGGACACAGAAGAAAGTGACTGACAAACTGCCAATATAGAGAGAACTGTCTTTGAAATTTTCTGTTTCATGAAAAAGTCTGCCCGATACTATGGGCCTGTAGGCTGAAGATGAACATAATATAAATATTGTAACTATAATTCTTGCTTGATACCCATTTTGTTATATGTAATTGTACTATGTTAAAGTTAAAATCTTCCTTTTCATTTAAACAGAAAAAGGGAGGTGATGTGGGATTCCCCTCTGGATGCTGTGAATATCATTGGTTAATAAAGGAACTGCTTTGGGTCTATAGCAGAGCTAGGCGGGGAAAACGAAATGGAATGCTGGGAAAAAGGAGGCAGAGTCAGAGAGAAGCCATGGAGCCTCCACCAGAGACAGACTTGCTGAAACTTTGCTGGTAGACCACGACCTCGTGGCGATGCACAGATGAATGGAGATGGGTTAAATTAATATGTAAGAGTTAGCCAATAGGAAGCTAAAGCTAATGGTTCAAGCAGTGATTTAAATAATACAGTTTCTGTGTGATTATTTCAGTTCTGGGCGGCTGGGACGAACAAGCAGCCCCCTGCAACACACTTGCACCTAGCTGGGCTCCATGGTTAGAGTACATAGGAGCCTGGTGTGCCTAAAGAAAATGGCATGTCCTCTCAAACACTCTCTGGCTCCAAGATCAGCCCCTTACCACAGTGGAGACAGTGACTTACAGTCACTGCCAGCTGACCACAGATGACAATGGAGAACAATCAAATAGGTCCCCTCCAACCATCATACAGGCCCAGGCTAGGCAGTGGGATGCGTTAGAACCATGAAGCCGCCACCTGGTCACCACAAGCAAAGGCAGTGCTGGGGGGGGGGGGGGGGGGGGGGATGGCTTTTATTTCTAGTCCTCCGATCCATCCCAAGAGAGATCTTTTATTTTCTAAGACCTTTAAAAAACAATCTAATCACGGGCATGTGGGGGGAGAGATTCTTCTCAGATGTTATGCAGAATGATTAAATGAGATTTCTGATTAATAAGCCAGGCCAAGGTGGTCAGAGTAATTGGCAAGGATTGCTTCGACTGCCCTCTGCTGGGCAGAAGCGGCAAAACTCACCCCGTGTTTGTAGGGCCCTTCTCCCCTTGGCTAGTGTTCCTTAATAAGGGAGAGGGGAACCCAGGCCTGGTTCTCAAAGGCTCTAACCCCAGCTCGCATTCCTTTTGTAAAGGCTCCCCAGCACACCAGGACTGCCCAGCGCCCTGCACTGAGTGTTGCAGACAAGAGTTAATGGGCACAGTGAAGACGGACTGTACAGTGACTCCAGCCACAGGGCAGGTTCTTGTCCTAAAGACATTTTCTCACACTTCCGGGAACTTCTCTAACACACTAAAGATAGCTGCTTTTTACCTAGGGCTCCCGGTGTGCTAAGGAGCGGACATGCAATCCTCATGAAACGACTGGGGGCTGAGCGAAGGGCCACAAGCGTGCAGACCAAGGACAACTTCTCACCTCCCCCGCTAGGGGTTCCAGGGACTGCACTCAGACCGACAGGGTGTTGGGTCCCATGGAGAACCAAACTCAGGCCTCCAGCAAGAGCAGCAAGTGCTCTTAATGGCTGAGCCCCTCTCGAGACCCTTGAGGTATTTTCTCGCATTTAAAGCATGAAATCTGGGGCTCTGAAACAGGCCTCATTAGCACAGAAGAAAAGCAGTCCCTTCTCGTGTCACTAATACAGAAGATTTTTAAACGTCTCTCTCGTTAGGGGCCAGGCATGGTGGTGCATGCCTTTAGTTCTGGCTCTTCAGGGGAAGAGGCAAAAGAAAGCAGACCTTGTGAGTTCCAGGACAGCATAGTCTACACAGTGGATTCCAAGCTAGCCAGGGTTACTCAATGAAACCCTATAAAAAAAATAGTAAGAAAAAAAAACATAATAAAATAAAATCCTGTTAGTGCGTGTAGCAAGCAAGAACCTATTCCTGGGGATGGTGGTGGCATTTGCCTTCAATCCCAGCACTCTGGAGGTAAAGGCAGGTGGATCTCTATGAGCTTGAGACCAGCCTGGTCTACAGAGTGAGTTCTAGGACAGCCAGGGCTGTACACAGAGAAACCCTGTCTCAAAAACAAAACAAAAAGGAACCCATTCCTATGCTGAACCTCAAGTGCTCATTTCTCCTGCTGAGAGACAACTGATACTCTAGGTAGCTACAACTCTTCCCAGAAGCAGTGTGTATCTATGACAATATATACAAAAAAGGTCTAACAGAGAACTCGGACACTAAGGAGAGAGCTGGGAGAATAGTCTTCCCCCAGGGAAGAAGCCCTCAACTGGCTGTCTAATCCCAAGTGTTCAACCCTGAAATCATATGCATACAAGCAACATTGTAAGGATGTGTAAGCTACAGCTAATTACTTAGGAATATATGTGTGTGTGTGTTGTATATTTTATATATTTAATATGTGGCAACAATTTTAGAAAACAGTTCATGAATTGGGAAAAGGGCAAGGGGGTCCATAGGAGGGGCGAGTGGGAAGATGATGTAGCTATATTTTAATTACAAATACATGTGTACATAAACCAGAGGGTCTACAATACATGCGGGATCACACCAGGATCTCCTCCAATTGGCTCCTTACTTGTCGACTGTGGTGAGGACGGTGATGCCTTCCTTCTGTAAATGCACCAGTTTGCGAGGCTTAATGAAGGGAAAGGCCGACACGAAGGACTTTGGGGGGTAGTGGATATCCCAGACAACAAGCTTCCCTTCCTTCGTGGCCGAAAGTATTTGTGCTAACTTCAAGTGAAAGACAGACTGGCTGAATTTTCCCACGAGTTTGTTGAACGTCTGTGTTTCAAAGACAGGTTGTAAGTTACAGTATGGGTTATAAATTGCAGGTTATGAGTTACATGTATCAGTGCGGCATTTTATAACGTTAGGATGAAAATACAGTGAGACGAAAAAGAAATGACTGAACCCATGGGTAACTAGCTCCGGACCCTCTGCAGGTTCGCTGAAGGTTATGGGCTGTGCTCACACACACGGAGAAACGTGACCCAAGAATGGCTGATTGCTGTTGCTACCTGCCCAGCTTCTCTCCTGGAGGCTGTTAAACACACAGTCTCTCCTGAACAGAAGCATGCTCTGGGTGAAAAATACAAAGTAATTATACCGGATGTCCTTTGACTGCAAGGTATTGTCTCAGCAGAAGAAACTCTTCTGGCCCTTAGCATAAGAATACTTTGGTAAGACCACCTATTCAATGTATGCTTTGTGAGATAAACAAGGCATTTAGCCCTGCCTTTCTTATACAATGTTTCAGAGAGAAAATATGGAAGGAGGGCTGGAGAGATGGCTCAGAGGGTAAGAGCATTTACTGCTCTTCCAGAGGACCTGAGTTCAGTTCCCAACACCCATGCTGGACAGCTCACAGCCTCCTGTGAGTCCACCTCTGGGGAAACTGATACCTTGGATTCCAAAAGTGCCAACACTCCCAGGCACATTACCACCACCCTCCACACATGCACATGCTTAATTTTAAAATAAAATCTATAGTGATATTTTATTTATGTTTTAATACATAAAGCTTTCCTGAGGATCGGAGGGTAAATAAAACTAAGCCACTAGAGGCCAGGCAGTGGCGTCACACGCCTTTAATCCCAGGATTTGAGAGACAGAGGCAGGCCGACCTCTGTGAGTTCAATCCCAGCACTAGAGGGAAGGACAGGAAGAGACAAAGGCTCAGGCTGCAGTCGCCTCGCCTTGGCAGAGGTAAGACTTCTTTATAGTGGCTTGGCTGTTTTGCTTTTCTGATCTTCAGCTTGAACCCCAGTATCTGACTCTGGGTTTCTATTACTTGTGCTATATTAGTGCCCAATGTTTGGGGTGCAAATTCACGAAAAAGCCATCAGCACAGGCCGGGGCTGCATGTGGGACTCCAGCCCCACCCGGCTAGGCTTTCTTTTCTTTTGTCCCTAAGCCTCTGAGTGAGTTTGGGATTCTTCTGTTCTGGCTTTCAAGCAGCCCCCCAACACATGTGCTTTTTCCAGACAGACCCCTGTGTATTTTTCTGACAGCCAGCTCTCTTTCCCCACCGTGCATTGTGGGCTCTCCCTGAACACCCCCTTCTTGGGCTGCTGCCAAACTAGGTAGCTGCCATGAAATCCGGTCAGGCTTTTACTGTTCTATGCAGCAGCGATCAGCCTCACATCTTCATCATCATTGTCAGGAGATTTCGTAAAACAATTGGGAATTCTTAAAGGGAGGAATTAGTTAAGAAGAGAGAGTTTTCCCCACATTAAAAAATGGGAAAAACCATTACAACGGAGAGGGATAAAATGATAAAATATGCTAGACAGTTTGAAAATAGAACAATCAGATGAGAGAATATCTAATAGATGGGATTTATGTAATGTCAATTGTAAACATTATCACCTTTATCATTTTTGCCTTATCACTAAAAAAAGTTGGTTAATTTGAGTGCTAAGATACAGGCCTTAGAAAAACAGATCCAAGTCACAGAGATATTTAAATCCAGACAGAGGAATTTAATGGAGAGCCAGTTACAGCACGTCATTATAAAAATAGAGAGGAACAGCCTGAGGCTTTTAGACAACCAACTTTAATATATCTAGTAACCTTACAAGAATTGCCAAATGGCAGAGGCTTTGTTACAGCTGCATGGACTCCTGTGCCAATGTTAGATTTAAGGAGATTCAAGGAAGCAATATGGCGTGCATTCACTTTTTTTGTGAAGCTAATGTTAAACTTCTGGTCAGTTTGTAATAGAATTATACCTAACAATTGGATAGAATTCGTTAAAGGTGTTTTAGAGTCTGGTCCACAATTATAATGGAGTACCTGGTTCAGAGAAGAGGCTAAGATTATTGAACAATGGAGTAAAACTAGAAGTAGGAAAATCTCCCAAGATCAAATTCTTGGAGAAGGAGATTGTTACTATAGAAAGGCAGGTTGTATGTGATGACCACACCCTGGGTTTATGCCACACAGCAGCTTAGAATGCTTGGGACAGAATTGGAGAAATAGTAAAGAAAATTGAGTCATTTACTAAAAATATACAGGGCCCAAAGGAAGCCTTTGCAGATTTCTTACAAAGATCGACTTCAGCAGTAAATAGAATGATACCAAATTCAGAAGTTAGACAAATAATAATTGAATCTCCGGCTGTTGAAAATGTCAGTTCTCTATGCAAGAGGAAAGTTAGGCCGTTAAAGGCACGGTCAGCACCTCTGGAGGAATTGATCCGAGATACAATTAATATTGAATCTCGTGAACATGCTGAGGCATGGATAGGAGAGGTCATTTTATAACTGTGGCATTCTAAAAGGTATTTTAGACAGGGCATACCTAGAAATAATTTTTTTTTCAAAAAATAATCGATTCAAAATGCTTTTCCCTTCTGGATTATGTGGAAAGTGTGACAAAGGCAGGAACTGGACTAATGAATGTAGGTCAGTGAGGAATAGTCATGGTAATCCTTTGCCTCAGGAAACTCCACGTGGGACCTCCTGCAGGTCCCTATGCCAAATCTGGTTCAGTCATTTCCTGCCATCATAGAGGAAACTCCTTCCAAGAGCAAGCAATGAACCTAATGCATATTGTGCGCAACCATACTACTCTGGATAATAGAACAGCTATAGAAGAGAGAGCAAAAAATTCAGAAGAAACCGTAAAACAAGTATTTTGGCAGACATTTATAAATGAACAAAGACCAAAATTAAAAATACAAATAAATGACATTGTCACTGAAGTTCTGGTAGACACAGGTGTGGATGTAACAATAATTTCATCAGAATTTTGGCACACAAATTGGCCTCTTCAGGATGCAAATGTTCAGTCTTTAGGGATCAGAACTTTATCTCAGGTAAAGCAGAGCTTGAGATAGGTTGAATGTATAGGGCCAGAGGGTCAGAGAGGAATATTAAAACCATATGTAGCTATGGGCTGGAGAGATGGCTCAGAGGTTAAAAGAACTGACTGCTGTTCTGAAGGTCCTGAGTTCAATTCCCAGCAACCACATGATGGCTCACACCCATCTATAATTAGATCTGGTGCCAAGAACACTATATACATAATAAATAAATTAAAAAAAAACCACATGTAGCTAATATAGCAAAGAATTTATGGGGACATAACTTGTTACAGCAATGGAATACTCAGATTAACATTTCCCCAATCTTAGAAACAAATCATAAATTAACATATATTTCTGAGAAAAATATTATAAGATATTATAAAGAATAGTCACTGACCATTCCAGGTTATACAAAAACAGGGCACTACTATTACATGGGTAGCATTTTGCTATCTGATTCAAGTGTAGAGACTTTAGAAAGAATGTTTGAAGAAGTAAAGAAAATTTTGCCTTTTGGAAGATTACAAATTGTTCCCGAAAAAGTACAAAGAGGAGATTCTATTAATTATTTAGGCTATAAAATAGGTTTACAAAAAATTAGGTCCCCAAAAGTACAAATTAGAAGAGATTATTTGAAGACTCTTAATGACTTTCAAAGATTGCTAAGAGAGATTTTCAGTCTACAGCCCACTATAGGGATAGGTCCTGATGACCTGATTAATTTAAACAAAACCTTAGATGGGGACAAGGGCTTAAATAGTCCCAGGGAATTTTCAACTGAAGCTGAGAGAGTATTGATTTTGAAGAGAAATTACAAAAGGCACATGTGGAGCGTATGGATTTGAATCTTAACAGCATTCTGGTGATATTATCCTCCAAACATTTCCCTACGGGAATTTTAATGTAGAATCAATATATTATCTTAGGTTGAAATTTTTTCCACATAAACCAAGTAAAAAATTCAAAACTTATGTGGAAAAGGTCTCTGAGTTAATTCTAAAAGGAAAATCGAGACTTTATCAATTAGCAGAAATAGACCCAACAGAAATTATACTACCTTTTAATAATGATGAAATTATGGTAAGAAAGTGAACCCTGGCAAAGAGCTTGTAGTAATTTTTTGGAAGAAATTAACAACAACTATCCCAAAAGCAAAAGAGTTCAATGTATAATCAGAATTAACTTCCTCACATTGTACAGGACACAGTAACAATTGGAATCCCAACATTCTATACTGTTACAAATAAATCAGGAAAGGCAGATTACAAATCAGAAAATTTAAGCAGATCAAAACCCTTATGATTCTGTTCAAAAATCAGAATTATATGTTATTCTCATGGTACTAACGTGCTGTAGAAAATCCTTCAGCCTGTAAGTTACCCACCTACTTGGGTGTGGCCTCTTATACTATTTATGCTGATGTAAAGCACACGCTCCCTCTCTCTTCCAGCTGCAGGATTCAGTTGCTATTCCCTAGTCGAGCAGAGGTCTGTGATCTGTGAGTCTACCCCTAAGCAAATAACACTTTATTATACTTAATTCTGAGCTAGTGTGGGATTTCTTTTTAGCATCCATCTTCATCTGACACCCAACAGGGTGCATCCCAACTCCACAAATACCAGGAGGACTGGTCCACGGCCCGGAAAGTCTCCCATCCCTGCCTGCCTGGCTTGCTTTCACCTACTAAATGTTCTGTTTTTCTTTCTGTAAAACCCCAGCCACAGCAGAGCTAAGTGCGTAGTGACTTGGAAATTTCCCAAGCCCATGCACACTTCTCCCCACCACTGCTGCATTCGCTGCTGGGCAGCAACATGCGCTCCCTGTGTGTGCTCCCTGTGTGCGCTCCCTGTGTGTGCTCCCTGTGTGCGCTCCCTGTGTGTGCTCCCTGTGTGCGCTCCCTGTGTGTGCTCCCTGTGTGTGAGTTCTGGGCTCCTTGCTCTGTGTATGGAGTTGATTTGCTTGCTTTTGGCTT